ACAGAACTTCACTGCCAGAGGACACTTAGTACATCAAGGAGCCACTCAGCGCTTTGACGAAATGGCATTAATTGACCACCCAGAATGAAAATAGGCTCAACGTTCCAAAAAATAAAGATCCTGAAAGCATAATTGTGATGACTTTTATCCTCCAAGTTCCTCCAACAGCCACAAAAAGAGGTGATTTCCTCCAAAACTTATCAGAAGTACAAAAAATGTCCTCTGACGATAATAAAAGTTTCTCACATCCTTAAGCTTGTTCTCCAATGTTCTGACCGCCATCAATATTCACACCGGATATAGCCCAGTGACGCATCATCCTTCAAAGTCTTGTCAAGATAAGTTTTTTACGATGAAGCTATGACATTTGACAAATAGGCCGAGTCTGACTCAAAGGCGAGGAAAACAAATGACATAAGAATTCATTAAAGTTGGTTTATAAAGTCTGACACTAGAAGCCCTCTCCAGCCCCCCACCCTCCGGTTCACAGCAGTGACAGATGAGCACAGGCGACGGCGGCAAAATGAAAAGCTGGTCCAGAATAAATAAGTCAGAGTGAAGACAAAGAGAGACAAACAAGGTGCCGCGCTCCTTCACACCTCTGTCACCTTCACAGTGTTACAGTTTTAGCGCCGTGTACGCTGCTGCACGCCTGCTGGAGGTGTGACGAATGTGATGCTGTACGACATGTCTGTGTTAAAGTCACCTGCCCACCTGTGTGTTGTGTGTGTCAGTTCTTTCTGATTTCAGTGTGTCTAAACAACAATGAACCATCTGTGTGTTTTATGTAGGAGGATGTTTGGATATCAGGAAACCTGATGATTTACAGTTGAATTTGCTAGGAATTATAGACTGTACATAAAAGATGGACGTAGCTACCACGACGTCTCAGACTGAACAGTGCGTTCCTGTTAGCAGGGTATTTGCCCCACACTGTCTTGATGTCTTGAGACTGGACACAGAGTGCTCATAGAATTGTGACTTAATAAAAACATAGCTCCGCCCTAAATCGTGCCTTCCTTTATCCGTCTTTTTGGCTCTAATTGGAATCACGATTTACAAACATAACATAACTTCATATTAAATAAGACTTCAAACTAGCGACTGGGCTCATGAACTCCTAACAAAGTGTGGACAGCTCAGGTGAACTGTGGAACTTTTTCCTCGTAGATTTCTACACCGTCAGAATTACCTTTGAAATCAGAGGAACGCCCCCTGCTGGCCATTAGAAAAAACTTCTGAATAAGTATCACTTCTAAGGCCCAGAATGTAAACCCTTCACATACAGCTTCAGTGCTCTTGCAGTTTTAAACACACACTGACTGATTTGCAAACTTTTCTGTGGCTAACAGAGAGAGTTCTCATCTTCAGCAGGTGCATTTCATAAGGAGGCTGTCTGGAACGTCTGTTCATTTGTCCATCTGTCTTCCTCTCTGCCTGTCTGTCTGTCTGTGTGCGTTCTGTGTTATCTGAGTGTGAGAACTGAGTGCTGTGCTGTGCAGCCCTGGGGGAGGTGAAGCTGCATTCAGGAACCTCTATGGGTGCCACAAAGCTGCATTCATGCAGCTGAATAGCTGTTTTCTACAACCAGGCACTAGTCATCCCAACTCCATTGGAAGGGCTCTATGAGTTACCACTCTCCCTGCCTTGGTATGCAAAGCATTATGCAGCAAAAACACAAATGGCTGGATTAACAAAGGGCACACAAAGCATACTTACATGGAAACATTGAAGGGATACGCGACTCTGTAGTTTCAAAGGACGGTGTTTTTAGGATTTCTGCGTTCTTCCCTCTATCCAGTGGCAAATAAAGAATTTCCTCTTTCTTTTCCTTTTTTCAGCTCTCAGTCAGTCACAGTTACACATCATTTTTTCCACGTTTCCGTATTGTCAGCGCACCAAACGGCCGTTATCAGATGTTATCGGTCCCATACTTATTTCCTCCTCTACCCTCTACACGGCAGCCATCACCTCACTCGTGATGGTGACTCCACACTGCTGAAGAGAGAGAGGACGGCAGTGGAGGCTTGGTCCACTTGACTCTGGATTTCTGGACTGAGCTTTCATTAAAATATTCAATGTAGTTTTTTACACTGTTTAGTTTGCGTTAGTACTTGGTAAGTATCATCTTTTTCCCAACCCAAAGCTCCATTTTCTTATTTTACCACATCAGGAAATGTCTCAAGCATTTTTTCACATGGCCACTAGAGGTCTCTGACAACAGGTGTTAGAGATCTCTTTCTGTTAAAAGGGAGTTCTTCCTCCCCACAGTTGCCATGTTCTGCTCGTGGGGGTCTGATAGATAACTGATAATGATCAATCAGTGTGAGGGTAACATCCAAATCAGGTGACTTTTCCATAACTTTATAGAAAATTTATGACAATTATCATTTTAATAACAAAGTTGTTTTCGTGATGGACTTTTACAGAACTTTAGAGTCCATTTCCCGAATGTCTTTTCTTACGATTCTCCTAAAAGATAACTAAGCTGTCAGATTTACTGTGAACATGTGGGCGGTGATGACTGCACCTGTGCTCCTCTTACGATGTCATTATCGTGTGGATCTCTTTTTCCAGCAGTGTCACCACCCTGCAGAGTGAAATGTGTGGCACTTTAAGCGAACACCTAATGTTCTGTGTGATGGAGTCTTTGAAGGGGGATATTCACGATTGCTTTCCACACTCCTGCACTGTCAGATTATGGTGCCGTTTTCCTTTTATGGAGTCTACCAGCGGGCGATGTGAAGGCTTGTAAGATGTGGCACAATTCTGATTTCGATGCTAAGAGGCTTCTAGCAGAGTAAATCAAACAGCCGCAGCACGCATCCTCAGCTGGAGTCTACTGAAGGTATCAGGAAGCAGGAAAAACACCCACAGCCTCTCATTTAAATTCAGCTAATGTCTCTTTCCAATTAACAGATTGGCAGAGTCATGACTGCCCAAATTGACTTCCTGTCAGCAGAGGCCTAGCTCCCTCACGCTGCAGACATTGTGTGGCATTTCACCGGATTGGTCGCTCGGAAAGATCCTGGCAGCTGTCAGTCGATACCTCTGCCCATCGGGGACAGGAAGTCTGGCACCTCATGTGAAATACCTATGCTAATTTTCTTGAACTGTCCAAGTTAAGATCACTGAGTACACAGTGTTCCACCTGCATGGGTGGTCTCGGGGCCAATTAGTGAGGAAATGTTTAATCGTTTGAGAGAGAGACAACGAGGGGGGGGGGTCATGAAATACTCAAAATCTCACTAAAGTATACAATAAGCATGAAAATCATCTTCTCAGGGTATTGACACAATGAAAGAATCAAGAAACTGAAAGTTAGTATAACCATCAGAGGAAGAGCTCCTTGAACATGACCTGTACCACAAAGATAGCAGTGCTGAGGGGAAGGTAAAGAACAGCTGTAAAATAAAGCAGGATGGTCCAAGAGGCAGTGCAACCTGCGGTACTGGTACCGGAAATGCTCATGCACCAATCAGATTTGAGCAATCCACATTAGATACAGGCATGCTGCCAGTGCCATTAGAAAGTAAAATAAAGGTTATAATTGGTACTTCTGCAGCCGGGAGCAGTAATTATTATTAAGGAGATTTTATGCTGCATTCATAAATATACGTTGATTAGAGTGTCAATAAAATTCTTATAAAATTAAATTAAGATTTTGTTCCTTGATCAACGTGACATGTAGGACAGAGTAGGCCTGGGAATAGGCAGAGACCGTCCTCCATAACCAATCATTTTATTGTATAAGCAGGCCTGAAAATGACAGTAAAGAGTTCATGGCTGAAGTTTTAGTGACAAGACTGCACACAAAAAAAAAATCTTTAGAGATCCAGCAACATTCGCAACAAACATTTAAAAAGCACCAACACAGCAGGAGCACAAGACCAAGAACAATACTCCACACACACTAAAATATCCTTCCAGGACGTTGATGAGTTTGTGATATTTTCATGAGAACATCAAGATGATGTCACTCAGCGTTTCTCTTTAATGTCATGTGTACTTGTGGCAACATGATTTAACCATATCTCACAATGTTTAGAGTCGTTCCTGGATCCTTGCTGACTCCAGACGTTCGTCACTTCCCAGATAGCCACACCATTGATGCAACTCTATAACTTTTTGGATCACATGATCTCTTTGGTGGAGGTAAGAAAGTCGATTTTGGGTCAGCAGTGTTTTTCCAAACAGGCCTTTAGGTGTGGCTGCCTGAAAGACGTGCAGCAGATAAACGGGAGATAAATGGGGAGTGAGAATAATTGGACTGTGGATCTTTGGCTAACGGGCCCAAAGCACCAGCTCTCATCTGAAAACATTCACCGTCATCGTGCTGCCACAGCACGCTGCGTAATCAATCACTGCTGTCAAGTCTCAGTTACCTGCACTGCCCATTATCACCGCATCCTGTTCCTGTCCTTGCTTCAGTTTCACTTCACCCACTTTCCACATTCACGCACTATAAACCCACACCAGAAGCGACGACACAGCCCCTCTCTCATCCCGCACCCGTCACACTTACACAGGACTGCTGTAAGGCTCTGATCTGTTCTACCACACCAGAACAGACGACAAGGACCACAGACCAGGCGCGCAGACCGGAGACAGGACTTGACAGAACAGATAAAACAAAACACCATTTCCAGCCTCCAGCGCCTCAGGTGCCGCAGACACATCTCAAAGGGAATACTGTAGACGGTGTGCAGATAAGAACCTGTAGTCTCTGCACAGTTCCTCATACCCACAGGCGCTTCTTTGGAACAGATTCCAGTGAGATGACCCCTTTCATTTCACAGATTACAGATTTTCACTTTACAACCTGATTTAGACATCGAAGGCGCAGGAGCAGCTGAATGTCTGTAATGCTTTTATACGAAAATAAAGTGCGCAAACATTAACTGCGGTTTCTGGAGGTGATGCGTTTGGCACCATCCTCTGCGTAAAAAACAAAGCTGTGTACCAGGACATCATCAGACAAACATCACTGATTTACTCACCCACTCCAATTTTCTCATCCTCTGTCGGCGTCCACATGATGTCCTGCTGCACCCACAGCAAAATCCTCTAAAGAAAGTAGCTATAATCACCCGATGGGTCGCTTCATGGAAATCCGAGTGACGACGAGAAAGACGAGGAGGACCGCGGAGCAAAAGTTTACTGAAAATGGCTACGGGGAAAAAAACAACCTTAAACCACTCTGAAAATGTGAAAGTTGTCTTAAATAAATGACGGTTAGTATCCTGTCAGGTTGGCGGTGACGCATGGCGCAGTGTGTCGGTCCATCTCAGCGGCTGTGCTGCGCTCCTCGGGAACGAACCGCCAGAGAAATCCTCCACAGGGGCGTCAAGGCGATTTCAAGCCAAACAGGGGGCTTTTAACCCCACCTGTGGGCATTAGAGTGGCATTTGGTTAAGCAAAAAGGCGGCCGGAGCAGATGAACTATGATTTATGAGGATTTCATTAGAGCGCGAGACTTTCCCATTCAGGAAAATCCCACGATCACTCGTGTTTCCCGTCAAGTTCTGTCCGGGCTCGGGAATCCTGTCCTCACTCAGTGAGCATCCCTCCAGAGCGAAGCTTCTGGTGCTCTTGTGTCTTTGAACCATGCGTCTGAACCTCGCTTCCTTCCGTCGCAGCTGCTGAACTTGTCGTGAGCAGATGAAGAAAAAGCTCAGTCCCGTCTGCGTGCGAGCCGTGCGCAGCAGCGGGGAAGCCTCCGTCAGTTTAAGAGGATCAGGGTGGAGCGCGGCTGAGGTGGTCAGGAGGGGGGGGGCTCGTTTGGTCTGCACAGCCTGCACGCGCACAGGAGCCTACGGCGGCTGACCCCTCAGACCACGAGTGGGAATAAAAGACGCAAATATATATATAATATATAAACTCACTTAGAATTACTCTGAGCATGTGCAGTATCGCGCACGCGCGCACACACCGGCCGTGATATCACTTTACAGCACCGTGACACAGCCTCGGTCGTGCTGTCACTGACACGCGTGTACAGCCGCTAATGACAGCCGTCTGCAGCTCAGCAGCTCCACGCGCGTTTGTTGCGCGTGCTGCGCCCCCGCGTGGACACTTCAGAGCAGCACGCGCTGTGACAGCTGTGTCACAAATATGGTGATATGACACAGCGTTGAGAAAGAAACCTTAAAGCATTTTAATTTTCCTTTTCTTATGAGCAGATTTTCACAATAAATATTTATATTTTTTATTTGTCTTCATCATAGTCAACGACCCATCTACGGGGGGGTAATATAGTGCACTGCTCATAACAATCAGAGGTGGCCAAAGTACAGATATTCTGTACTTAAAAAGAAGTACTAGTGTTGAAAAATACTACAGTCAAAGTTGAAGTACTGATTCAACTTCGCCTCTGAAAAGTACTCAAAGTAAGAAAGTAAAAGTAGTTCTTTGGAGGACGTTACTACCAGCTATTTTTATGCAAAGCTAACTGAGCCTTGTGCTTTATTACTGTAATAATTAAATAATATTAGCAGATGACAATACAAACTTTACTTCAGTTTAAACTTTAATTCTAATAAATATTCTCATCTTGAATCTCATGAGCAGAGAATGTAGAGGGTGACTTTGCGAGCAGTCAGGGGCTAACGTGGATGCAGCCGGTGGGGGGACACTAAACTGGTTGTAATGGCTCAGTGTGGGGAAAACAATCATAACTCACAATAACTTCTACTGAGAGCTCCAGTAGATGTTCTTAGTGTACAGGCTGTGATCAGCTGACCTGCTGCTTTTGTGGGTGTACATGCCTGAATTCAGCCAGATGTGAGCAGATGTTTTATGAGTTGTCCTGGCTGATGCCCATCCTCTGCACTGACAGTACACTGTTGATGCTGTCTTTACATTAGATACTATAAAGTTGGTATGAAGGTGAGATTCAGTGAATGAATATCAGCATCATCAGCTAACATTCATATGAATCTCTGCTATAAGCTGTGAGCATGAAGCACAGCCACTGTGCACCAGTCACACACTGTTCTTTACTGCAAATCCATCACAGTGCAGCAAACTAAGCTGTTTATCCTGCAGATTCTCATGCAGCCTTTAAAAAACTGCCTCAGTTTGATTTACAGCAGGTTTCACAGTATGAAAAACATGTCACATGCACAGATTTAAAAACATGGGGACTTACATATGAGCTTTAAATGAGCAGCCCTTCCTTTTAAATCTAAGCTCTCTTCTTCCTCTCCTCTCCTGTCTTTCTTATCTTTCTCCATCTCTGAGTGAACTTAGCTCTGTCTTTTCTCTCCCGGTGAAATAAGCAGCTGGAGTTTTAGCTGCAACACACTGTGAGACAAACACACAAACAGTTTGTGTGTTTGCTGATGTTTGTTGAAATTCTGCATTTAAAATTACCTCTCTACCACAGCGTGTCTTTTGTCTTCCTCCCCTCACCGAGCCGGAGGTTTCTTCCTGTTAAAAGGGAGTTTTTCCTTCCCACTGTCACCAAAGTGCTGCTCATAGGGGGTCATATGATTGTTGGGTTTTTCTCTGTATCTATTATTGTAGGGTCTACTGCACAATATAAAGCACCTTGAGGCGACTGTTGTTGTGATAATCGACTTCCAAATTTAAATCGAATTGAATAGAGCACATGATTAGAAAAGAATTAGTCAAATATTATGATTTCAATAAATATCTTTATGTCTTGGTGTATCTTACAGATATAATGCAGTCTGAAGCTCACAGAGAACAAGCTGGACCTGCCAGTATTAACCAACACCTTCAGGTTTCCAAATTGGGGGATTTTGCATTAAATTTAGGCTAATTTTCAGAATCAATCAGAATCAGAATCAGAATACTTTATTCATCCCGAGGGAAATTAGGGGTTACAGCAGGCAGCACGCTAATGGCGCATGCGCACTCACAAAGGAACCTTCTGACCAACTTTACACAAACATCACATTGGGCAGACATGTCAGAAGGTAGGCTGATAGGAAAAAAACAACGAAAATACACTACATGAGGTAAGAGGAGGAGAAAAAAAACTCAACTCAGACTGAGCTCCTAGTGGGAGAACAGTTTGATAACAGAAAAAACACCTCAGCACAAAAGCACATGATTATCAATACACCATAGAAACACGAGACAAGCAACAGGGGCGGGTAAAGGGTAAGAGAGAGCCGGCGTAGACAGCGCATCCGGTCCTGCAGCATCTGTGCTGGTCCAGTTGACTGCTATCTTCCCCGGTAGGGCACAAGCATCGAAGGCGTTGGAAAGGGAGGGGGATGAGTGAGTGCTTATCAGTGTAAGTGTGTGTGTGTGCGTGTCCATAGTTTAGCTGAGACAGTGTCCTTCGGCCTATCAGGCTAAGTAAACAGTCCTCCAGCCAATCCAGGTGTCCTTCATGGGGCGGGAAGAATAGTCATCACACAGTCGTTATCAGGGAGTTGTTTTGGTGGGCTCCAGCCTTTGGCCTGCAGCTGGGGCCGTGGTGTCCAAATGTTGAATATTGTTGATTTCTGTTTTGTGAGCAGCTCGAATTTTAGCACTCTGAGACAGGTCCCTCAACTTCGCGTTGGAGAGCTGCGAGCCTCCCCATGATGGTATCAAACTTCAGTTCCAAGGTGTTGTCAGTCTTTTGATTCTGAGACTTCACAACTGCAGTGATCCGTTCCGCGATGTTTTCCAGCTGTCGCTCAAGGGTGTCATTTTGAGCAGGCCTCTCTCTGATGTTTCCCCTCATACGCTCAATGGTGTTGTTTTGAGCCTTCACAGCAGCAGTAAGCGTCTCCAAGGTGTTGACCATATTACGTTCGTTGTGAGAGGTCGCACCTCGTCCCGGCGCTTCGAATCCAGCGGGCAGCCATGTGGGGGTTTGAACAGCCGGTTCCGCTCTCTTATTTCTCTGATAAAGCAGGGCTAGGCCAACGCCGATCAGCATGAACCCTGTTATCATGGTTCCGAATAGGTAGATATCTTCAGCGTCCTCGATCGACAGTCCCGCCAGGCACACGGTCCTCCAGTTCTGCCACCCGTCCATCGTGTAACCGGCAGGGAAAGTCCCTCCAGGGCACTCAGGCTCTCCCAAGCCCCGACTTCTCGTTGAGAAAAGGGTGTCAATAGCACTCAGAGACCAGTTGATCAAATCCATAATTCTCTTTTAGGTTTAGAGAACGACAGTGAGAGACTGTTCCAGGTGGCTAAAAGGAGGTGATAATTTAAATGACCAGAGGACAGAGTGACTGATGACGTCTACTAAAGCACTCAGAAGCTGCACTGAGAATCAGGGTTTAAGGTTTTCTTCAGTTTCAAAGTAATTTGTGGTACACACAGACTCAAACTAAGCAGAGCTGTAGGCGGTATTTTCAGCGTACTTATATTTAGAGAATATGAACAATAAAAAGTTAAAAACAGAAGTTGCAGCCCAACTAAACCCAGCGCATCCATGGCAACATTATTTCTGTTTGCTGCCACACTTTACACCTGTGGACGAGAATGGGATGCAAAAAATATTTAAAATGAAGATTTAATTTCCACGTGTGGACTCCAGCGAGACGAACCCATTAGCTTAATGTGTCCCCGTAAGTGTTCACGACGTGACAGCTCTTCCAATCCAGAGAAACAGAGGCTCACATTTGTAGTTTTCAGACTCGGAGATGAAATATCCTGATATCACCCCCTCCATGGTTTCCACTCAACCTCTGTGTGTCTGGCAGGAATAATAATGTTCCCACAGAAGGCACACCGGTTATACAAACTATCAAAACATACTGTGGGAGTAAAAATGATCCGTTAACTGAAAGAAAGCTGCCCTGTGAATGGGATTCCTCACCGTCTAGTGCTGTAGCAGTTTTCCTGAGTCCTGCATCTCTTTCATGTTTTTCTGTCTCTGATGACCACGCTCGACTCTTTATGATTCAACTATTTGTTCCACAGCCCACCAGCAATATATGCACAATGTCACATTCAAGATCGGAATGAAAGGATTTAAAACATTCAGAGAACAAATCAGAATGCTGGAGGCGTCGGCGCAGGCAGGGTCAGCTCGCTGCCGGGAAAAAAGGAGGAACAGATGAAACTGAGAAGAGGAGGAAACAGGACGGAGAGAGGAGACTGACAGCGAGCGACGTTTCCCCACTGTTAGGTTTTGTATTGTTGATTGTCATTTATGCTTAGAAATATTTAACCATAGATGCTTAGAGGTGTATAATCAATTGTGTAGTGATAAGTTGTGTGATCTTTAACAGGCTACAGAGGCTTGGTGTGCATTCCACACCTACATCCTGGGAGCATGAGAGAGGTCATACCTTCTCTTATTGTTTTATGGTAGGATTAACGTAGCTACGTCTGTTTTAGTCTAAGTGCTTTTTGTGTATAAATGAACTGCTGGACTTCCTTACTGTGTTATCTAGGATGAGGGGGGGTCTACCCTCTTCCTGACCAAGGATGTTTGCTTGTGTGCTTTTATGACCCTTTGATCAGCAGTACCACACACACACACACACACACACACAGGCAAGGTACTCTTTGTGTGTATGTAGACGTCACATGTTAATGAACCTATGCATATTCATGTAACCTCAATAAAAGGACAGTGGTACGGGAGAACGGACGAGAGCAACTGGGGTCAAGCGAAGGGACGGCGCTCTGTCCGGTCTCTCCCGTGCACGAGTAACATGAAGAACTTTGCCTATTTGTGTCTTGCTTAGCAGTGTAATTATATTGTCTTCAACGTTCCAGCGGATGGGTTCAAGCTACAACCCTATCACCCACGAATAAGAACTCACT